GAGAGAGTACGATCAGGAAAGTCCTACGCAACAAGAACAGTGCAAGCGCGCCAACGGGGCAAGGTCATCTTCACGACCACTATGAGTTTCGTGCGCCAGAACAGTGGAGGAGCGAAGAAGGTCGAGCATGTGGTCCCAATGGCCGATGTGCCAGGCCCAGAGGAGGACTCGGACTCGGAGATGCATCCCAGCGGCCACAGTCCGTTCCAGAGCCAAAGACTGGCGACCGAGAATGGTGAGTGCTTTCACATGTCAAGCGTCACAGCCCAGCCTAACCCCCTCCAGAGGACTCCGACAAACCTCACACCAAGAAGTGCCGCCAATGGGTGAAGGCACGCGGTCGCATCTCCCCCGCCGGAGGCCACGAGGCCCACCTCTCCGCTATCGCCTACATGTCCGACAGCTACTTCATCGGCACCGTCGCGCGCGTCCACAAGCTCTGGCGCTATTCCTCACAACGCAAGAGTGCCGCTAAGTCCAGCATCGGCGAAGACGTGCTCAAGACACTGCTGGAGATGGACGATGCCGAGTTGAAGCGTCAGTCCGTCAGCGAGGCAGACATCAAGCGCATACAACGCATCAAGAATGGAGAAGACCCATCCAAGGTTGCGGATGACGTGCCAGAGATCGGCATGATGGTCAGTCTGGACCACACCATTTACTTCCACAACCCCCGTACCTTCAGGGCCGATGAGTGGATCTTCACCGAGACTGAGACGCCCTGGGCTGGCGACGGTCGTGGACTAGTCTTCCAGAGGATGTACACGAAAGATGGAACCCTTATCGCGACCTGCGTACAAGAGGTAAGACTCCCAGTATTCAACCATGCAGTCAGCGATGCTAACCTGAACAGGGTCTTATTCGACTTAAGCAGAACGACAGCAAGTTGTGAAGACGCAGTCATGTTCCGGTCTTCTTATTTGCGTTCTCACCCACCCGCTTGCATAGACTTACATCCTTTATTGATAGATCAATTAGACCTGACCTGACTCTTTGATATCTCGCTCCCTTTTTGCACGCGTTCCCATGAGTCTTCTTACATACCCAGGTCGGCCCGCTTTCAGCGAACAATTATGACGTGCTTCAGCTTACCCGCTTGATATTCACGTGACGACCAGTGCACATTGATACCCACGAATGAGTATCGAGATCACGATGACTGGATGCGACCAACGAGAAAAGGTCTAACGATCTAGCACACGTGTTACCGTAACCCGTTGGCCCTAGAGAAGCAGAACAAAGGACCAGAGCTCACAGCACCCATAGCCCCTTCCGTCGGGCCCAGGAATGAGGACTGTGGCTTCCGTGGAACCTCACGCCCCACACCACGCACGTGCGATGAGCGGAAGCAAAGGCTAGCGTGGCTTCCTTGACGCATACTTAGGATACACAGTCGCCGCTGCCTTCTTGACATGACGCTTCCCATAGCTTTCACTCCTCGATAGCGCGTAGCCATCCTCACACAAACTCACTCATACGACGCATCTCACTATCGAGCCCGCTCGAAGCATGACTACCGACACCTTCTTGCCCGTGCTTCGGTGGGTATGTCGCAGGACTCACATACAACATGGGTGGTGACTACAGAGTACGAGTGGGCGTCGGGCTCTCGCTGAGCCTTCTCCTACGAGGTCATGGCTCTGTATGAGTCGGAGGCGAGTATAAATTCTTACGTTCTTGATGAAGATGTGTTTCCTTTCTGCACGCAGAGTCCGGTGTTTACTATCATTGTATACAGGAATTACGAGCAGCTACAAGCGATAATCGGCACAGCACGACGAACCTAACACTCATCGACTGACCAATTGAGAAGAACGAGCTGCCAGATTCACAAAACCTCGCAATGGCGGAACCCCAAGCAGAGACCTATTCATTTCACTCAAAGGAATGGTTCGATGCAGTTCCGACAGCAGAACAAAAGGATTTCTACAAAGGCCCTGCGAGTAACTGGATCACGAGCAGTTGGCCCAACATCACTGGCGATCCTGACTATGAAGCTGCTCGTCGCTTCGGACATACGACTCATCCCGGTTGGATTCGGAAATTCTTCGCGTGGTCTTTCGACGGTGAATGGCAGGCATCCGGGACTATCGAAGACGAAGCGACTCTCAAAGAAAAGAAGAAGAAAGCCGTCCTTCTTCCGAGCGTTCCTGGCGATTTTGCACCCGTTTCAGACAACCAAAGGGTAATGAGCTTTTGGGTCTCTAGCGATCCAGATCGCTTGGGCTTGAGGATGATCGATTCGACAGGAACCATTCCACATTGTGACATTCAACTTGGACGTGTGTAGCAATACTGGCTCCGAAATTCAAGACTGGGTACTGACTGACCGCAGTGTTCGTCGCCTGCAAGATGTACGAAAAGAGAGAACAATGGATCAAGAACGACTTTGAGTGCCAGACAATCACGCGAAAAGAATTGGGCCTCGAAAGGTACATAACTAGTCGCGAAACTGAAGGAGACAAAGACAGAATCAAGGCATTTCTAGACAGCGTGGAGAACGGAATTCCAGAGATAACGATCAGAGGGCGACGTCATGAGCGGACGTCAACACCAGAATTGGCGATACTGACAACGTTCACGGCAGCTAACACGTACGAATACTTCAATGGGCTCCATCGACCTGAATAAGGAGCAGTGATTCTCCGCCCCCTGGCTTCTGGTCACATCTTACTCTTTCTTATAGTGTGGCAGCATGTTGCGATACTGTCTTTACCGAGTTGCGATCTCCTATGATATGTTTCCAAAAACTAGTGGTACCAAAAGTTGAGACGATAGACCAGCTGTTTCCACACCGTCTTTACCGAGTTGCAATCTCCTATGACATGTTTTCAAAATCTGTTTGCACCAAAAGTCGAGACAATAAATCAGTGGTCGCCATACGCGCTCAACCATCGAAGCGAGATCGGATCTTCATGTTTCAAATTTCATTTCATATAATTCATTACTCGCACCATCATCATCATGCTAATTCGTAAAATCCTTCTTCGGCGCCTCCCCCTCTTCCTTCCCACTCCCATACTTTCTCACATGCTCCTTATTCGCCCCCTTATCCTGTTCAAACTCCTTCAACTCAGGCGCACTCATATGCTTAACCACATTATCCGCCTGCCACTTCTTAAAGCTAAACCCGACCCCCTCATGACTATAATCCTTATCATTCGCCTGATCCTTATGATACTTGACCTGCATAAACTCCGTATCCGCCGTGTCAGGATCCAGACTCAGCGATACCAGGCCCGTGATGGTGGCCGTCTTTGGGATGAGTTTGAAGGTCCAGGACTGCTTGTTTTTGAATTGGATCATTTCCGAGTCGGAACGGATTACTTGGTAGGATTCGTTGATGGAGGCGTTGAAGAGTTTGGGGAGCGCGAACCATTGGCCGGCCATTTTGTAGCGGTCGTTGGCGTAGACGAATTGGTCGTCGTAGACGCAGTCGGGGGTGTAGCGTTTTACGCGGGTGATGGTGGGTTGGCAGGAGTAGAGGGCGATGATCTGGGGGGTGAGGTGTTAGTTTTTATGTTTGGATAGGTGATGCAGGAGAGGTGGGCTTACATCGTCGACTAAGGCCTGGCGTTGCGGGCTGAGCTTGATGCTCTTGCTTGGGTCGGGCTCGTAGTCTTCACTCGTAGCCGTCTGTCTGGGCTCAAACTGCTCGCCGGGCGCATCGCTCGTCTTGGGGAAACCTGAGTTCGCACTGCTGACGATATCGCCCGTGGCCTGCCCGGTCGTTGAAGTCGACATCTCTGCTCTTTGCTGTCCGGCTGCTAGTCGTGGAGGCGGGTTGCTACCGCTTGGATTGGACTGCTGCTCTGCGTTCCAAAGCTGCACGGTAAGTGCTTTCTGAGGATGCTTAAGGGCGGGTTTACTGAGAAAGTTCTTGAAATTGGTTGAAAGGAGCTTGGAGCGAGAGCCACTGGTTGCTGCAGGCATGGAGTTTGGGTTGTCGGAAGCGGAATCCATTGACGCGGTTGTGCACTATATACGTGTTGTACTATGTTGACGCGTGCATGCGTGAGCGTAAGATGACGACAGTGTTAATTGACAGCGGTGCTAGATGCGGGAGTCGATGATTCATGGACTCGAAGATCGGGAGATCCAAATGTTCACGCGCGCGTTTTGGTGTAAGGAAAAGGATGGGGGGTGGGCGCCGTGACCTGCATCTTGATCTGGGCCCTGACATGGGATTTCAGGGCAGATTTGTGGAGAAGCGTTGCGTATGCCATGGGATTTGGATGTGTCGAGGGGTGCGGGTAAGGCTGATCGGCATCTTTCGGGTGTTGCGGCATGACGTACGGTAAACTTCCTTTTCAGGCAACTTCGGATTGCTGTCGATGGCGGTGTTAGCGTGTATACGCGCGCTGACCCCCTGGAGCGATCAGCCTGATCCGGCCTGCCAGCCTCGCAGCACCTGCGCGCTCCCTACGCGTCGAAAGAGCCAGAGTGACGATAACGATTTGAGTCGCCATCAACGTGAAATACGGAAGCCACAAACAAGCTATACAATGGAAAGCAGCGCAATCGACTCAACCAACAAAAAGCGCGTCGCGCAAGTCACGCACTCAAATGTACTTTCTCAGAAGCCGGTTAACCTCGTGATAGATTACTACTACAGTTACATGAGCTATCTAGATTCCAATCAGAAGGCCACCGTCATTACTTTTCGTTCGATACATTACTCCAAACCATTCCGCGCAGTCTCGTATCGCAGGACACTGTAATAAATGCTTGCTGATAGGGCGCATACAAAACGCTCATAGCCAAGTCATGTGACGCATTCGCCATGACCGGGCCACGCCGCCGAAGAAGAGTAGTAAAGGTCATTAGTGATTACAAGAGAACGTCGTAATGCGTTGCCCGTCTATCCTCCGTGTGCCCGTGTCGTCGTTGTGTGGGGGGATTAAAAGGGGGTTGGGTGAAGTCTTGCGATGAAGGAGAGTAAGAAAAGCGAAAAGTGTGCTTTTGTACATCTTGTACAAAGTGTGGTAAGAGTCGACCGCTTAGACGAAGTAAGCGAGAGCGGCAGCACCGGCCATGAAGGCAGCGAGGGGCTTGGTGGAGCTAGCAGCGCCAGTGTACTCAGGGTAGCCGGGGGAGGTAGCGGATGAGGCGTGTCCCATGGATGATGAGGCGGTACCGATGGGTGTGGAGGCGTGGGAGGAGGCAGGGGGAACAACGACAGTGGTGGTCTCCTCAGCAGGAGGAGGAGGGGCGTATCCGGAGGAAGACGCCTCGGGGACGACGGGAGTGGAAGTCTCCGGGATGGGGACAGACTCAGTGATAACAGGAGGGGGAACAGCGTATCCGGAGGAAGACGCCTCGGGGACGACGGGAGTGGAAGTCTCAGGGATGGGGAAAGACTCAGTGATAACAGGGGGGATGGGTACGGACGAGGTGACGACAGGAGGGACCACAGGGTAGGTGGAAACCGCTGGGATGGGCACAGACTCAGTGATGACGGGAGGAACGACTGGGTAGGTGGACACCTCCGGGACAGGTACAGACGAGGTGACGACGGGAGGGACGACTGGGTAGGTTGAAACCTCCGGGACGGGTACAGACGAGGTGACGACGGGAGGGACCACAGGGTAAGTGGAAGCCTCGGGTACGTAAGGAGTGGAGCTGGGAGGAATGACAACAGTCGAGGTGATGGTAACCTCAGTGGTGCTGGAGACCTCTGGCACGTAAGGCTTGGAGCTCGAGTATGGCACGTAGGGCTTAGAGCTCGAGTACGGCACGGTGATGGTCTCAGTCTCCGGGCAGGGAGAGCTGGAGCTCACGGGTGGTACGTAGGTGGACGTAACGACCGGGGGAGTGTAGGTAGAAGTCACAACCGGAGGAGTGTAGGTCGACGTAACGACAGGAGGAGTGTAGATTGACGTCTTAACGGGGGGAGTGTAAGTGGAGGATGGCACAACAGGTGTGCTTGACTCCGGGCACGGGGTGCTGGAACTCGCGCGCGGGGTGTAGATCGAAGTCGACGTAACGACCGGAGGAGTGTAGGTCGATGTCACAACAGGAGGAGTGTAGGTCGACGTCTTCACCGGAGGAGTGTAGGTGGAGGACGGCACAACAGGGGTGCTCGACTCCGGGCAAGGTGTGCTGGAGGAGACATGGGGGACGCTTGAAGACTCATGGACCGGGTAGCTGGAGGTGACGACAGGCGGGACGTAAGTCGAAGAGGTCACAACCGGAGGCATGCTGCTGCTCTCTTCCTCGCAAGGAGTGCTGGACGCCTCGTAGGGCTTGCTCACAGATGGAGAGGCACCGTATCCGGACTACATATTGTTAGAGCTGAACGCTTCAAAAGCTAACAGTACTTGTGTTAACATACAGAGGAAGGCACAGCGTAGCCGTCGCTGCTGGAGGCGCCGTAGCCGCCACCGTAGGGAGCAGCGTAGACAGCGCCCACAAGGGCCATCGTTGCCAAGGAGTATCTCATCTTGTTCTGACGAGAGGTGTTGGATGTATTAAGGAGTAAACAGTATTACTAGGTAATGGGTGCGAAGCGAAAGTAACAGAGCAACCGTAACGAAAGAGCTGCTGTGTTGAAGATCGAAGACTTGATGAAGCTTGAGAGGCACGATATATGAGACTGAGGAGGAATGCGAACCTAATATACTCATTAGAAGAGGCGGGATCTTCACACCCTACCAGCCTTCTGCTCTGCCCTACCCATGGGAAAGCCACAACAGGGTCGCATCCACGCACGACGGTTGAGGGGCTCCGAAGTAGTTCCCCACATTCATCCGGACGTTTTTAGTTCCAAATCACCTCAAGTCGATCACGTTCGTAGTCTCGGCCATACCACGGGATGAGGCTCTCTCAGTATGGCAGGCGTCTCTAAGAACGTTTGCTGGCCAAGTTTACCCTAGCAACCGGCTGCAAAAGATCGCTAGTCAGCGAACGACTTACCTAAATCGTAGCTGCATGCATAAGGCTACCAGGATAATCGGCGGTTAGGAGAACACGACGCCCTGCCTTCTCATGCATGCTGACTTGGTGACCGTTTTGGTAGCCGCAGAGGTTGGAACTTACAGCTGTATTCCAGCCACCCCACAAACCAACGGTGAGTGGCAGTGACATAACGTTGTCCAAACATGGCATAAGTCTTCAGCCGCACCAATGAAACGCCATCGAACCGTTTTCCTGTATTCAATGTGTCACCGGGTAACACGAGGGTCATTCTGTGAGTCCGAAATCCAAACAACCAGGTATATTTGCGCGGACTGCAGGGCCGCTAAGACATCGTGGGCTTTGGTCTGTCGTGAACACGAGCTGTGCACCAGCACAGTGGGACTTCGGCTGACGGCGGTCTCAGTGGAAGCTTGGAAGATTGTCTATACTATTGTCCTAGCATGATAGCGATAAACAAGCTTCCTTGGGCGTATTGTTGAGAAACTGTACAATGTTGCGACCCTGCACTGTAGCAAGGATTATCTTACATCATCCCGAGAATTGCGCGTGTATTGGGACGCGCTGACCAAACTTTCCACCTCTTTGCACGCGACAGAACTGTAGTAATGAGAGTTGTGCATGGCGCGGACTCTCCTCCGTTTGTTTGCCGTCCTTGGGCGCATGGCCGGTCTCAATCAATAGCTTTGAGCGTTTGAACCGGCCACTGTCAGGAGCTAAGACGGTGGCTTGCAGGCGTGTTTATTGAAAATCCAGGGTGTTTCCATATCGTGAACTTTTCGGCGCATTGCAATTGGCGGACTCATTGGAGGCTGGTAGTGTCCCAGCCAGACTGCTGCAACGTTCGCATGCCTCGCTACCCCGCGTTACCCCGATCAGTGGGCAATCGCAGTAAGAATCAGAGTTTTCCTGACTGTCGTTGTACGACCGGCTGCGCGTCAGCTTACGGCAGCTGTAGATAGTTCCTGCAGCAGCTGCCGCCGCCGTTCGGAAAGTCATGAGCTGATTGCGACTGGCCCCAAGCTAGCAAGGACGCCCAGCCGTATCGTGCATCGCAGTCAGATTTGGGTTCCAGACGACCGTTGTTGTGGTGTTCGGGCGAGCAAGAGCTGCCGCGCACACCTGCAGTTTAGCTACCCGGCGCTTCGTACAAGCGTCCGCGAACGCGTAAAGGTTCAGCGGCAGGCTCCACCCTGCATACGCGCGAGGCAGTAAAACCTTCACCAATATCACCAGGTCATGTCTTGGCCCACCAGCAGATCGCGGCCTTAATCCCGCTCAGTCCGAAGTTCGGCTTGCGATCAGGAAAGAGAGGTCTCTTAACAGCGCAAAACTTGCAAAGGGTTGCCCTGGCGATCAAGCCCGAACTGCGGCGTAACGAAGCACCATGCATAACGACTTGTTCAGTATGATGTCAGTATGGGGTTTCGTCGCATGCTCTTCCTAAGCCGAGCTCGATGGGGTCTGATGCCTTCCACGTTCGGGGTTCCCTGTACCGTCGTGGCGGCAGCTCAACATCCGTCAGATGTCGCAGTGCTTGCTCAGTGATGAAAAGTTCTTCGAGCACAGAAATTCCGGCCCTGTACATCCGCTACGAATCGCGCAAAGGTATGTGTTGTATTGGTGTCACCAGAGTGTTGTGTCGCAGATCAATCGGTCGTGTCTGACGGTAATATCCTTGTGTATTGAGGCCGGGAGCAGACGCGCTGTCATTTCCATCAAGACACTGCGCGCCAGCCACGCGTGAAAAAGCAGGCTCGTTGCAACGCGACTAATCGTCGTCATCGCTTTCTGATCCACTATCCCAGCCTTCATCGTATTCTTCCGCGAGGGCTTGTAAGCCGTTGCATAGCGCTTCCTTTTCTTCAATGCCGCCCATTCGCTTGACGATCTGCTCGACTGCTCGGATCTGATCAGCGACAATGGTACTTGTCGTCAGCCCCGTGTGTACAGCAAGCTTAGTGGAGTGACCGGACCCTACGTCCAGCATCGAACGAGGAAAGCTGTCAAGTAGAGGAAATAGTAGCGGTGCAGCAAATCTGAAACGCGTCAGCCTGTATTCCACGTTTTGCGCCCAATTTGCAAGCGCCGATAACACAATATACACATCGTTGGTGATGAAGTGACACATACCTTTGCACTGCTGGTCCACTATCGAACCTGTCATGAGGATCACGTTCGTTATCTTCAGACAGGGCCCACTCTCCACGAGAAGCCTCCGCTCGCCCAAAAACGTGCTCTTTCTTTCCTCTCCTGGTAGCCGTCCTGTAATCGCGAGTGAAGGTATCAATGTCGAAATGGCTTAGTCGATCGTCGCCCTCACTTGTCTGCCTTGATGTCATGGAACCAACCTTTTCCGCTTTCTCGGCTTCATCGAAAGCCTTATCAGACAGTACCTCCGGATCTGCAGCACTCATCTCGAGCTTCGCTATACGTCGTTTCCCGGTACTGTTGATAGTGTTTTCCAAGTCTTGAAGCGTTCCGCGTCCGCCCAAAGATGCTCTCAAACGTGAGGATATGGTCATGCTTTCCAGACCCATGACTTGTAAAGCTGCAATATGCCAGGGAGAAGTTACATCTAACGATAGATAGCCCGGTAATTTAGCAGGGCTGTTTGACATCGGGACGTACACTGACGACTGTTCTCCAAGTATTTGAAGAGATCGCGCAGAGTTCGCTACTTGTTGTATGCGTCTTTCCTGCTCCATGTTAGTCTTTACTCCTTTCCAGAAACTTGAATAGAACCTACTCGAGGGGTCGATGAGTTGGCACCATGGTCACCTAAGCCCCACGTCCAAATGCTCATCTTGCCGTACTCGTCTCTGAGCCTCTCGAGCCATCCCGAAGCCCAACCGCCCCAGGCGTCATCAACACCCGTGAATATCTGGAGCCCTTGAATGCCATCACATTCTTCGACGAATGGTCGTAGATCTCTGTCAACCAGATCTACTTCCCTTTCAAGCTTCTCGAAAAGCTCCATGCCTACGTCCCAGCTCTCAAAGGGCATGAGCTTGTCGTTGACGTCGAACTCCGACAGCTGGACAATGGACTTTGGATGATAGTAGACACGGCTATAATCTGACCAGTATCTGACAGACGATGTGCTGAGTGGGGGAGGCTGTAGGCCGGCATCGAGGTGCTCTTGATAGGTGGATTGTGGGATAGTCTCTGTTGCACGCTGTACAACAGGCTTCGATGGCCAGACACCGTTCTGATCTAATATGCTTCTGTCGTCTTCGGCCTCGTACAGGGCATTGATCTTTCTCATGCTACCAAAAGCACCTTTGAGATCGTATATGAGCGTTCTTGGCGTGAAAGTATCGGACCCATCTGGAGCAACACCCGGCCTAAACAATATGTCATGATTCACAGGTGACTCTGGCTCGGGCGGGTATGTGAAGTAGGACTCCTGCGATAATATTAGATGAGGCGGCGGGACGCTAAAAATCGCGACTTACTTGTGTGTTCCAGAAGTGAGTGCCCAGGTAGTTGCTCTGCTTGCCGAACTGTAAAGTCACGATTTCGTGCATGGCGACGAATGAGTAGTAGTCTGTTCAAGGGAACGGATACATATACGATGCGTTGCTGTTGATGTACGAGCGAGAGATGAGCTGACTGGCGATGGTGCAGACGGAGATAAACGGTGATTGGTGAGATCAAGCTCTGTCATTTGCCCCGCACGTGCACACGCGATGAGGAAAGAGCGATACCCCACCGCGACGTCCCAATCCACAACCTATTATCATAAGACTCGTTTTCTTTTGGCTATATCATGCCTTGGAGGTGCACACCGTGTTCCAAATTAACATAGCATAAATAGTGTTGTGATGGTATCCTCATGGTATGCTATGGATGTTAGGTGCGATAATGAAAAGGCCATGTCTTGATGAATCTTTCCGTAGAGTCCGTGAGGTCTACGAGGTCTGCAGGCCGATCATTCTAGATGCTATTGAGAGCAAATCGCTCGCTGAGCTGGATGACCATGACCAGGGAGGGCGCAAAGTACTGGCGGTAGCTAAACCCTGGAAGCTCCTGCTAATTACAGAGCGGTTCAATGTTCAGACACAGAACTATCAGAGAACTCATTAGCGGGCATGATGAGGCGGGCAAAAGATCGGGTTTGGGGTGATTTACACATAGTCCATTCGGAGTGTATAGTATGAAGGTACGCCTACCAGAGATCGAAAGGCGCTCTCTCATCAATCACGAATGTATCAGGTAGACCCATGCACACTCTCCACCCATGTTCATCACATCGTTCCCTCTTCGCTCGCCAAATCGTGCTCTCGTTATATAACCGAGCAGGTGGTATCGACGCTCAGCTGGAACTTGGTATCGTGTCACGAGTATGCCTGCGCGCTTGCAAAACGATCGTGTTCTACGGCTGCGAGTGCGGTCTGCGAGATGATCAGTGTCCCGGCTACATTTAGTGCTCGGTCTTCAGAGAAAGCTTGGGCGATAAGCCCTCTACCGTCCACTTGTCTGGCACGTAGCATCCATCAGGCA